ACACGCATCTGTTATTCTATAATATAGAAACTGAAAAAAAATTTTCAGCCAAATCGGAACGGTGATGATTAATTTTTAGCAAAATNTTATAAGAAAAAGAAATTAAGTTTGTCAAATTTAAAATGTGTGGAGTGGTAATGTGAAGTGGTGTGGAGGAAACCAGAAGTAAGTAATGGGGGCTGGGGTGAAGGGGGAGAATCAAGCAAAATTCACTCCCGTTACACTTTTTCTCGAGGTCAAAATCTGAAATTGTTGATTTACCATTGCGCATAACGCGCCTATAGAAGTATAACATAAAAAAGTTAAGAAGCAATAATAGCACGAAGAAAGTTAATAGTATTGTAAGTATTTTTGCAATATTAAAAGGTATATCTATTGAACTGTCTCCACTTCATATACATAAATAAACAAAATAGCTAAAAATTATAAAAGGGATATTATGAGTATGTTAAAATAGTTGTTAAAAGAATGAAGGGTTCATAATAGATTTTGGCCAGATATTACTAATAGAGCAGCTTATTCAATAACTTAAATTATAACTCATACTGTTGAAAGAGAATAAAGCACCCTTTGAAATTATTTTTGAGGAAAAGGCTAGTGTAACTTTTTTTTAATTCTTGGAAATAGAGTTTATGTTAGAATAACAGAGAAAAAATAAATTTCAAATTAGGATAAAGAAGCAGATTTTAAAATTTTGTTAGGTTATGAAAATGCTGGTTGTAGAGTCCTCATAAATAGTAAAAATTAGTACCTAGATACGTTGATATCATCGAAGATGACAGGAGTTGTACAGGTTTGAAGTCTGTAGATGACATAATAAGAATCTGTTCAAATAAGAACAATGAAAAAAACACAAATAGAAATTTAATTACAAATTTGAAATAGTAAAAATAAAATTTTTAGTTTAAGACGGTAAATTAAAAAAAAAAAGAGCCTGATGGATACAGAGATGAAAATTTTGTACATTGTAATATTATTTATGTAAATCATACAAATGCTAAGATTTCTGTTTCTTATAATGATGCGATGAATAGTATTGAGCCTGAAAAGAGTAAAAGAGCAATTGATAAGGAAACATACTGTTCAGACAATAACAAGACTTGGATTGCTGTAAATAAACTAAATGATAAAAAAAGTTTTAAGTTTTGACTAGAATTATACTTAAAAGCATGGTGCCATTTTTTGGGTTGTTAGAGGTTATCAACGAAATGATTTAATTAATATTCATTCAACAGTTGCAAGAATGCAAACTTTAAAAATTTCGCTTTATTATTGATGTCAAAATAATTTAACCATGAAACGGATGAACGTTAAAACAGCGTTTTTAAATAGAAAGGTAAAATCTGAGGTTTCTGTAAAACAGCTACGAAGCTGTAAGGATGGTACTTAAGTTAGACAAAGCATTGTATGGGTCAAGAGAAATCCCAAGAGCTTGGTATAAATATTTTGATCCTTATTTAAAAATTTAAATCTTGAAAAGAAAGCAAATAATTTTGCCTATACATCTGAAATGATAAAAGTAATAATATGTATTCAAATTTTTTTGTGGATGACTTATTAACATGTTGTAAAAATAATGAAAAATCCAGTTTTGTTAAAAAATTATTACTAAAAATATGTAATTTTAAAGATTAAGAAAAGAACGTGTTAAGGTATTAATATAAATTACAAAACTTACTAAGAAAAAATGACGTTAGATCAAAACAACTATACTGAAACACTAGCAAAAAAATATGATATCATAAATTCCAAATTGTATGTAACTCTTACGTAACAAAATTTGAAGCTGAAACCTGCACAAGTAGCACGTGATACAGTTATGTAAATTAATTTAAATGGATCTTTTTTATACATTATTTCTAAAACTAGATCTCATACAAGTTTTAGTATTAATTATTCAAGTATGTGTCAAAATTCTTATGATAGTATTTATTGTAAACACACTTTTAAAGTTTTAATGTATTTGTACAAAACAAAAGGTTTTTAATTTACTTTTGAAAAGAAATTTACTAATGATTTTATAGATCACTATGTTCATGCTGATTGCGCAGGGAATATCAGTAATAAGAAATCAATGAGAGATTATGTCATATGAACGTAAAAAAAATGTAATTTATTTTATATCTAAGAAACAAAATAGTGCCTTAGGCAGAAATAAGTTTAAATGTTTAGAAATATGTTGCATGTAGAGTAGTTTTAGATACCAACATTAAGATTGTAACATAAATTTAAGGAGGCGTGTTTAAATGGGAGAAAATTAATATTAGATGTGTTACTAGTGCCCTCACTCGTTTGGCATAAACATTACAAGTGCAAGCTCATATGTATGTGTAGAAAAAGGAGGACACGTGACGTTGGGTCTGATTTTTGTATAATCTAAGAAAACTAATAAAACCTTATTTCTTAGATAGAAGATGCCTGTAACAGCATAATTTGTTTCTTATTCTAAGTAAGTTATCGCTCAGCCCAAATAGTGTAAGATAATCTATTTATAAAGGTGAAACGTAAGCTAATCTCACTCGAAGACACCGTACGTGATATACCTCCGTTCGATGGGTGGTGCAAGGCAAAGATGAGCCAGGACGTAGATGTGACCGATCTTGATCAAACAAAGTTGGTGGGAGTGGTGGACAATTTATCTACTGATATCGGCATCGATGGCCAGACCAGCTCAAAAAAAAAGAAAGTGACCAGAGAAAGATTCAAGTTTGATTAAAGCTACAGCTGAAAATTCTATGGGTAACAAGTTTTTCTAAAATACTGGACAGAGTAGATATTGGTTCCACAATCCGTAGACCCAGTTAATAATACTTAACTATAGCACTCCTTCCCTGCAACGTCTCAGGGTCCATATAGTATTTAGCTAAAGAACAAAGAAAATTCAGGAGAAAAAAGCCCATAAATTTATGATTGCTAGTCTCTTACTTGGCAAGTACAACTTTGATGATATTGTTAGTGGCTCAAGATTACAGGTTTGAGGAGTGCTTAAGGACCAATGTGAGGCTAACAAATTTATACACGATGCTTTGCTGAAAAATCGTGGAATTTCTTCCTTTATACCACTGCATAAGCAGGGAAAAAAAGGAATAATACTAGGTATCTTCACTGATTTCTCAAACGAAGACACACACCTACATATAAAGATTTAGGTAAAAGTAATCAAAGTTGAACAGCAATTCAAATAGAATAAATACTTTAAAAATAAAGAGTATAAATGGCTCTCCACTGAGTCAATTTTGTTTGAAGGTGAAGAGATGCCAGACTTCATGTATATTTTTAATTTGGCAGCATGTGGTCGCAAAGTGGATGATTTTTCTGTTCTAAGGAAGGAAGCTCTTCCTAAAATTTATGGTTCAACTGATAATCAATCTTATAACAAATTTGGTAAGAAGCCATTCAAAGAGCCAACAGCAATTGACCCCGATAGATCAACAAAAATAATTTTAAGTATGTCAGTTTCTTTGCAAGCATATATTCAGCCCGCAAGTCGAACTAAGTTTCAAGCTTCTTTATCGCTTAACAACTCCTCAATTTTCAAAAATCATTGACATAAAAATTGTTACATAGTTAACATGCAGAATCTAAACTAACTCAGTTTTAAAGCTACTAAAATCCCTAACCAGAGTCTTTGCCTTACTCAGCACAACAGTCCTCCCATTGATAATCTTGATTGGCCCTGCAATTATTATGCTTTACAAAAATCCCCACGGACACTTGCAGTTCCAGAACAACAAGACAAATCAAACGATGAGGAACTCAGCTAACACATAATCTTCGTTGATTTTATCTCATCTTATACTTAATCCAACTTTTATTATTCTAATCTCGTTAGATTTATTTTACTTATCGAAAACTTCACTATTTAGTCTAACATTAACATTGACAAAACATAAAAGTTTTCCAACGAAACCATGGAGTATTAGAAATGTATTTAAATTTTTGAGACCTGTTAATAACTTTCAGGTTTTAGTAGTGTCAGAAACGTGGCTTAAACCAGAGATCCCATACAGAGTAAAATGGTTTAACAGTGGTAGGAGTGACACAGTTCACGAGGACGGAGGTAAGAGCCGCTCTTTTTGTAAGGGAGAACTAAGTTTTTTATAATATGGTCCTGAATCATGTGCCTACCAATTTATATCACTGTTTCATTATGCTTAACACATCTATAGGTAACATTTATGTAACTAGTGTGTATAGACCACCTCATAATCAATTTAGCTTTAAAACTGACGAATGGATATCCTTTATAAACGAAGTAAGTAATCGTCCCTCCTTTTGACTTCTTGGGGATTTTTACTCTCATTATACACTTTAGGGTAGCGTTCATAATTGCAATGATAGTCAAAAAACTTTTGACAACTTTGACCCAGATGTTCTTCACCTCTTAAGTGACGGATCTCCAACCTATTTTACATTGAAAAACGGTGAGATTTCAGAACTATGTGTTGACTTCTCTTTTACATCTCCTAACCTTGCTCTTATTTCTTATTGGTCTATAAGCAATACTAGCTGTTCTAGTAATTACTATCTCATAACAATACACATAAATATTGACCCAGTTTTTATCCCAATAGTTGACTTCAGATTAAATCTCTGAAAATTAGCCTAGCCTATTTTCTTCTCTAAACTGGGCAACTCTAGAAATCAATTTAATTATATAAAACTTATAAATCTTTAAGTTTTTAAAAGGCATAAAAATTTCATTGACGTTGTGATTTTTTGTGTTGAAGATTTTTTAAGTGAGAAAAAATTAAAGAGAGCTCTGTTATTTAGCCAAACAAAAAACTAACAAAAATCTAACGTCTTTGAAGAAAAAAAAAAATTTTCTTGGTGCAATGACAAATCTGAGAAAGCTGTTCAACTTTGTGAGGCTAAGCTTAAATCCCCTAGGCTTAGAATTTGAACATAGTCATTTAACGAGTACAAAAAATTATTCACAGTAGCAGAAAAAGCTCTCAAAGAGGAAAAAAGATTAAGTTTTCGTTCATAGTGTGAGTCTCTTAATGACCATCCAACACTTCCAATGTTTGGACCAAAATTAAATGCCTCAGGAATGGCTTCGATGGATCCATTTTCTTCATATCAAGTAAATTCTTGAAAATGCTCTCAGCTCCGTTAGAACAAAATCCTTTCCTGGCATTGACAAGATTAGCTATAAGATAATCACCTGCCTCCCAGAATGCTTCTTGAGAGTATTACTTGATAATTACAATGACATTTACCATAGTGGCTTGTTTTTTTTGGACTTTTCTTACCTTCTTATGGCCTTTATCTCAAAAAAGGAAGGCAAAGTCAGACCCATTGCAATGATAATGTGCTTTCAAAAGATTTAAAAAAAAGTCAGCTTCTGATTTATGCGATGGTTAGAATTAAATAATATCGTGTCTTCCACATAGTTTGGCTTCAGAAAGAGACGTTCTTGCACCGACAACCTAGCATTCAGACCTACCTTAATTCAGAACTGCTTTTACAGGAAAGAAAGTCTCGTTGGCTTGTTTTTGGACTTTAAAGGAGCGTTTGGCAGTGTCATTCCAACTATTCTGATCCAGGACCTTATGTACAGAGTTCAGAGTTCGGAGGGTCGACCTCGACGACCGGTGAACCGAGCGAGAGCGCCCAGGAAGGCGGCTGTGGAGAGATCACTGACGATCTCGAGGTGTAGGGCCTTTGTCCTCATGCACACGAAGACGGCGATGCAGCCCTTCGTAGTGCGTATGCCTCGTCCTTTTGATGCAAGTACTGAAAAAGGCCCGGCGTAGTCGACACCCGTGGGGCCAAAAGCGCGGGAAGGTGTGACTCGTGAAGCTGGTAAGGGGGCCATCATCTGGGTCGTGGAGCAAGCCTGGAGTCGGGAGCATACGACGCACCGCCGCAATTGAGCCTTGATTATGCGTGGGCCACCGAGAATCCATGCACGCTTGGCCGCGTAGGCACTAGTGACCCTGTATCCACTGTGAAGAGCTCGAGTATGGGTCCAAGAAAGGACCAGTGAGACGAGCGATGAGGCTCCGCTAAGGATCGGTGGATGCCGCTCTTCGTAAGGTAGTGAGGAGAAACCCAGCCGCCCGCCGACGCGCAGAATGCCGTTGGTGTCGAGGAAAGCCGCAAGAGAAGTCAAAGGGTTCCCTTTTGGCAATCGCTCGCCGTTCTGCAAACGCGCGCGCTCTTCGCCGAACGTTTCCGATTGGCTCAAACGGATGCAGGCCAGGAAAGCATCTTGAAGCTCGGTGGGGGTCAGTTGTGAGAGCACCGGCAGGACAGGTGGGCGACGCAACTGGTGCCGGACCCACTGACGAGTGCGCACGAGAACGACGAGTAGAGTGTGAAGCTTGGAATATCGTTCAAGTATGCTCGGCTCAGCTAGACAGGTGGCGTAGCAGGCCAACGGCAGGGGTGTCACCTCTTGAAGTGCTTCGTGGGGCCAGGCTCGGTCGTTGTTGGCGAGCCACGGCGGACCGTCCCACTACAGGAGTTGTTGTCTGAGACCGGACATGTCCGCGCTTCGAGTGGCCATGTCGGCTGGATTGGACTGCGACGGCAGGTACCACCAGGCGCTCGAGGAAAGCGTGTCCTGCATCTGGGCCACGTAGTTGTCGACGAGGGCGTTGTTGGTTGGCTGATCGGAGCGAACCCAGTGCAGCAAAATTTGCGAGTCGCACCAGGCGTGACAGCGCTCAATCGGAACTGCTAGTTCTTTGGCTGTCAAGCGTGGAAGCTTAGCAGCCAGCAGAGCGGCGCGGAGCTCCGAGCGAGGAATGGTCATCCTGGCCACGGGCTCGGCCATTGGCTTAAGAGTGCGGATGGGCGCCAGCTTCGTGCGAGCGAAGAGGATGTGGCAGTGGACAGAACCATCCGCGGCCTGGAGTCTAGAGTACAGGACAGCAGCCATCGCGCGGCGGCTGGCATAGGAAAATACGTGCAGGTGAATGTCCGCTGACGCAACCGTTCCAATCCAACGAGGCAGGGATAGACCGGAGATGGCCTGGAGCTCGGCAGCAAAGGCAGTGCACCTTTAAATCATGGACGACGGAGCAGACTCGTCCCAGTCCAGGTTGGCTCGCCATAAGTCTTGCAGCAGGAGTTTGGCGTTCAGCACGATCGGCGCAAGCCAACCGCATGGATCAAACAGGCCCGCGAGCGCTGCGAGCATGGTACTCTTGGTGGTTTGGTGCTGTATAAGGGGAGGTGTTAGCAGAAAGCAATCTGACGCTAGATCCCAGCTCACACCGAGCTCACTAACGAGACCTTCAGCGCCAAGTCGACACCAGGTGGGCCGCAGGCACACGTCGTCGGGGTGGTCGTCCAGCAGCTTGGGCACATTGGCTACCCACTTGCGCAGAGGAGCAGGTCCACACGACTAGGTGTACCGAATGCGGGGTCGGCCAGAGGCTGAAGATCAAGCCACTGCTCGGCCATGGATGGGTGCAGAGGAGCGGACGGCGATACAAGCCCGAGCTAAGGTAAACAGAGTGCCGCCAAGGTTATCGGTGGCGTATCTATGCCCGGGTCGATGTGCAGATGGGCCCGAGTTCTCGAGCGGACGACCGACTCACTTCCTACTTCAGAAATGCTCACATTGGTGTGCTCCAGCGTGGCGTTGAGCCATCGCGCCAGGTTCGCAGAGACGATCGTGACCTCGGAGCACGCATCGAGGAGGGCTCGGACTGTCGCGCGCCGGCCAGACGGCCCACTCAGCTGGACGAGAGTGGTCGGTAGCACGGCGAGTCAGGAAGAGGGTGACGGGCTCAGGTCGTCGGCACGGGTTGCACCGACGGGGTTGGCCTTTGGCCGTTTTGGTGAAGGCAGACCGTCAGATGGGTCCGATGGCCGTCGACGGCTGCTGTCATGAAGCAGGCTGTGGTGCTGTTCTCGGCAGTGCTGACAAACAGATTGGGAGGGGCAGAACTTTAACAGGTGTCCCGTTCAGAGGCAATTAAAACATAGTCAGGCTTGGTAGACCAGGTCTCGCTGAGCGTGCGCGTCGAGGCCTTGGAATCGAGCGCAGTGCCCCAGGTAATGAGTTTCGCTGCAGGACGCGAGGGAGCGATAGTGCCGCCCAGAAGATGATGAAGCTGTTGGACGGATGCTGGGTGTGCTCGCTGGCCGCGCTGGGCAAGATGCTTCAATGGAGCTGAGAGCGCGGCACTGTCGGTGAAGAAAGTTCGTCATGGCGGCGAAAGTCGCAGTCTCAATTCCACCCTTGTGTCGGCACCCTCGAGCCGCTCGAGCTCGTCCTCCCAGGCACGCTGGGTAGTTGGGTCCATGCCGGTCATGGCACAAGAGATCAGCCAGTCATCCCACTGGAGGACAGGACGGCCCAAAGCTTGCAACTGGTCCCGGTGGCGACCCAGCGTATTAAGAAGGCTTCGCAGACCTCTGGCCGACTCGTCCCTTAAAGGCCTGATGTTGCGTAGCACTGTTAGATGGTCGTGTACTAAGAGACGGTGGTGTTTAAACCGTGCCTCGAGCGCGGCCCAAGCGGTCGAGTAGTTGGTGCCAACGATCTGGATCGCGTCGAGGGCTGTTTTGGCATCTCCATCCACGAGAGACTTTAAGTTAAACAGTCGCTCGACATCGGTGAGCTGTTGATCGTTATGCACTAATGCTCGAAAGAGATCCCGGAAGCTCTCCCAGTCTTCTCTTTTCCCGGAGAAGGCGAGATTACTAATTCGGGGCAGGCGGGGTCCACAACTCGATGTAGTGCGCCCGGGGCCCAGTCCCCTGTTGCCAGAAGGTGGTGCGAGGGTGCTCCTCGCATTGTAGAGGTGGGCGCATGACTCTATGTACTCAGCCTCCGATGTCGAGTACGTTTGAGTTAGTGACTCCAGCTTCTCGGGAGGGGGCGTCTCGATGAGCCTCAGATGATTGGCCTGAAAGTCGCTCCAGTAGCCATCCAGCAACTCAAGCCTCACTTCGACGAGGCCGGTGGTCCAGGCCAAGGGCTCAGTTTAAGTGACGGCCAGCGCGAAACGAGCGATGACGTCTGCCAGAGTGCATTGGGTGCCAAATAGGTTAGCCCAGCCTTTGTCGGACCTGAAAGAGCAATCATGAGCTTGACGGTTGCACGAAGCTGCTATTGCCGTCGGGCCGAGCCAGGATTTGTCCTCACTTCCACAAATTAACACGTATGTGTGTGGTTATACGATGGGGAGAAGAAAAGAGAGCGAGAAAGAGAGAGACTCACACCTTACGTATACACACACACGCACACACGCACATACGCATCCACATGTCCATGCGGGCGCGTAGACGCTTGCGTGCATCACGCATTGAAAAAGAGAGGTTAAATGCTAACCTTCATAAACCGCCCGTATTGCGTTTGCTCTAATCATGACAAGGTATAGGTACACCCGTAAGGAAGGCAATTTGGCGGCCGCTACTGACGAAATAACCACTACCAGCGACACGGCTTCATGTCTGCCGTGGCCGTATGTATGACAAGCACTGGACGACGGGCTATGCGGTGGCCGTGGCAGCCTTGTATTCAACTTGTGACGCGGATGCTCGTGAGGCACGTGTTAATGGCGGCACGACCTCGTCGTGGCCATGATCAGGCAACGCAAGCCGGACCGCGGGCATGATGGCGGCCACGGTGGCTTAATACAACAAACACTTTGACATCAGTAATAGTATACTCACATTATGTTGTGTGCTGAATGCTCTCCTTGGTTTACACCTGCTCTGCAATGGTTGCTGTTTGTTTCTTACTCGCTTGGAATCTGGCTCGAAGGACCAATGTTCAGTTTTGAAAATCGTTCGTTATTGAAAATGACTTAGTGCCTAGTACAGAGTTGCAGACAATTATATCACTTTAGTCGATGTGATCTCCCTCAGCTTTTTCTTCCTTGGGTCCTCAATCGTCAGTGTGTCAGCCAACATGCGGCTTGGCAGCTCCACAGGAGCAGTACGCGTGCAGAACGAAGGAGGGCGCGCTTGACGTCATCTTGTCAGACGTTGACAGCGGGAAACGAGCTGAACACATCTAATGTACCAATAACCTGGCTGTGACTAAGAGCCTATCCCAGAATAATATTTTGAGTCTTACCTTGTACGCAATTAACACAAGAAAGCTATCATCAACAGTAAGGAAATACAGCTGTATTAAAACCCGTGAGGCAACCTTGCAACGATGGTCAAAGGTGGTAACTTGATTAAGATGTCTAGACAAATGGAGATGGGATCAGAAAATCTCCCTTTACATCTTGGAGAGAGAGGTCTGAAACTCGTTTGTAATAAATACCATTTTGTGGCTTTCAACCAATACCATCTTAAATTCAATCGACTTTTACTGAGGCTAAGAGATACTGAGATGCTTGTTGAAGAAATGGTCAAATTCCTTGGTATGATTGATAGTAAATTGAAGTGGAAGGACCACATAAATTATATTAGTAGATAATGTATTTCTTCTCTGAACATTCTGGCCTGCCTACGGAGAACTTGGTTGGGTTGTCATCCAGACATCTTCCTCATGTTAAATGAATCATTAATTAAAAAATAAGAAATAATGCGGGTGTCTCATATCTTCTTACCCCTCTGCAAGGTTCAATAAATAAGACTCAGTTCAGTACTACACTCCTTGATTAGCAATGGCATGCAAGAAAAGTACCGCATTTGACGTTCTATTGGCCAAGTCCTGCATTATATTTCTTCAATTCAGAATGATACGTATTTAAGTTATTTTTTATCAAACATAGTTCTATCCTTGAGTCAAACAAAAACTTGTCCACATAAGCTCATCTGTATGGCTAGAATTTTTCGAAGCCCGTGATCCTAGAATGCTTCGAAATTGTTACTCCTTTCCAGGTACATGTAATCATCTTTTCTACTCACTTCCAATATGTATAATGCATGAAAGGCTTGTTTTTTGTTTCGTCCATGGATATTAAATCTGGAAAGATAATTCAACTGTCTTAAAATCCCAGACAGATGTTTTTTGATAAATTTTCAAGCTTTCATTCAGTATGCATCAATAAATTTACTGATGGCTCTAAAATGATGAATCCCGACATCAGAGTAGGCTTTGCAGCTTGGTCTAACAGGAAAAGTCTCAACTTTTCTTACAATATTAACAATTCAAGTTCTGTATTTACTGCTGAGGATTTGACAATTTCATACGTGCTCTAACTTATATTATAGTATCCTGATACCAACTTTCAGATATCTTCAGACTCACTAAGCATCTTTAAAGCTCATCAAAATGCTTTCTCTTTCAGAATTCTCGGAATAAGAAAATTGCTATACAAATTATAGATCAACGGCAAGCAAATTCAGATTATGCAGATTCGTTTGGATCTGGGTATTCTAGGAAGAAAAAAAGTTAATTTAATTGCCAAACAAGCGGCCCTTAATGGTATCCCTCCCCTCAACGATAAAAAAGTGGTTCCATATTCTGATTTTTTAGGGGACTTAAGACCGAGTATTGGGCTGAAAAACATAGACAGTCTAAAACTGATAGGCTTAAGCAGCGACCAAACTTATTTCTAAAAATGTTTTCAAGAAAAACCTTTTGCCTTTGTTCTACGGTCCCCAGCTTCCTAGGTGAGCAGTTGTATCGGTTAACAGAATGAGAAATAACCATACGTCATCAAACAGCAGTCTAAACAGACATAGTATTGTCAGCTCCGACCTATGTGCCTGTGAAATTGATTCTTATATCATAGAAAATGTGTTCTGGCAATGTGAATTGTATAATGCCAAGAGAAATGAAATAATAAGGAGTTTGCATAAGATTCAATTATTTAGGCCCTATTCCACTAGTAAGCTTTTGGCCAACCTTAATTACGCGGTCACATCTATTTGGTCTAAATTTATTTGTCATATTAACATTAACATATAATCGCTAATTATTATATAGTTTTAATCTGAATACAAATTATTGTACATTTACTTTTGATCTAAAAAGTGCTTCTCTACGGTTTTTTTTCATTCATCAACAAAAGTTTAGAACTAGTTTCAAAGTCTTGTGTTGCAAAATGCTGACTCCTAAAACACAATCGGATAAATTTTGTTATTTTTGTACTATGTATACTGCCCTTGCAAGCTTCTGAGTGTTGATTCATAAATTTGTAAATGTATATTACGTCACTTATGTGTGTATGACTTAATCTAATATAATTAGTTACTGTAAACATCTAGAGTTGTAAAACGGATATCGTTGTATATTAAAGCCAAATATTATATTATAACTAATTTTACATTAAAAAAGAAACAGAAAAGAAGATTTGATTTTAGCTGTTATCACGAATACCTTACAAAGCGATTAAATGTACGAATGTTCTAAGGGCCAATAAACTAACACTATACTATTCTATACTCTATGTATATATAATTTGTAAAGCAATACACTTACAGCAGACAGAATATGGCCGTTGCCACGCACTGACGCTGTCGTCAGATTTTTCGATGTAATGAGAGAATATTTTGCAATCCAGTTTAACCTAGGTTATTAATGTTTAATAAAACTGATTATATATTTTTACGTTTTATAAATTGTTGATTCATTTCCTCAAAGTAAATTTATTGAACAAATATAAGAATAAATACAAATATACCTTCCCTAAAACGATATTGTGTACAAAGGTGGTGTAACAATCATCAGACTGACCATACGTACGTTAATTAGATTTGATTCTGTTGATGAATTTTATATTTAATTAACAAACGATTATGAATAATATACGATGACACAATACAATATAAACAGTATAAAGGCTGGCCAGAACAAGACTGTGCGCTTTTATTAAATCTTCTGATGATTTCAAAACATTTTTCTACCACCTTCGTAGATAACATCTTTAACGCCATGCTCGCACACTTATTCCTCGTCTATATTTATTATCCAAAATATAACTCTGTTGTAAAGACCAAGAAGATCCGTCAGTTTTCTTTACTAGGGTAGTACTACATGGCAGTCAAACTTATATAGGTCTTTTTGACAGACATTATTTAAACATTAAAGTTGTATTAAAAAAATTATACTCAAAAAATCGGAAATCAGTTAGCTGTACTCTTTTGAATGTAATTAATTGTAAAAAATCGCAACCTCACATGTAACGTTGTGAAAAAATCAAATGATTTATTATTTAAAAGGTTTATAAAGATCTTTCAATTTTTTGTATGAAATATTACCTTTAGATTACCCTATTTAACTTTCGAAAAGATCTATAAGTTTTTTCGGTAACATACAAAAGAAGACGTCAAGTATCCGTAAAAGCGAGTATGTAAACACACTCATAGAAGAAAAATAATTTCCAGCGTTGTAAGACACGCACACTCACAGGAACACATACACTCATACATATTTCTTTTGAACACACACACGTGTATAACTTTTTAAATGTATATATATACAACTTTTTTGTACACTATAAGTAAAATAATACACTTCTATTGCGCTTCATTTTTTTATAATTTCTCCGTTTTTAGTTTTTGGACTTAATGATGTTCATCAGAAAAGTAAGAGATAAGTTTGAAGATTTAAAAAGAGCATAAATATAGTATATAGATATGCTTGTAATATCGTTCAAGTATGCTCGGCTCAGCTAGACAGGTGGCGTAGCAGGCCAACGGCAGGGGTGTCACCTCTTGAAGTGCTTCGTGGGGCCAGGCTCGGTCGTTGTTGGCGAGCCACGGCGGACCGTCCCACTACAGGAGTTGTTGTCTGAGACCGGACATGTCCGCGCTTCGAGTGGCCATGTCGGCTGGATTGGACTGCNATATATATATATATATATTCCTATGTTTCATAGTTATAAGGGTGGGGCATTTCACACTACCCTTCTCTCTTCCCACCACCGTAAACCTCTCCACGCAAAATAAAGAAAAATTTGATATCTGTCAATGATACTTCAATCCAACAAAATAATAGCTGAAGACCCACTGAGCCCCTCGCATCCCCCCGCACAGTTTTCAAAGCTTCACTACAACCTCCCTACGCCTCCCCGTAGTCCCTCACACAATAAAGAAAAATTCTATTAATATTACCGTTATTTGGATCCATGAAGAATCTCCCTTATTTTTTTCTAAGCCCCCCTTCACGCCCCTCCCCAGCCCTCCGCACATTTTTAGTGACCCTAACCGTTCCTCCACCACCCTCCGTGGCCTCCCCACTGTATGTTACTGATCCAGTACCCCTTGCAACATGAGGGATAGTTCTACAGATTTGTAGCAACTCCATTTATGGTACATTGATAGGCTATTGTATACACAAACTGTACATGAGCTTAAACTAGCTGTAGCCAGCAATCGCAAGTGGCAGCTCCTACAACTTACGGTAAACAAATTCTTAGCTAAATATAGTTATCGATTTTTTCTACACCGCCCCGAAGGCAAATAAATTGATTTTGTACTTAGTTATAATATGTATAAGAAATATCTTATATAGTTATTTCTTTATATAAATAATAATGAGTAGAAAATGTTAGGCACGTTGACTTTTTTTATGTTTGTAGCATTTCTTTCTGACGTTGGGTTTTAAATTTATACATGTAACCGTATGACATGATATGATTACAAGTATTTATTGAAACTCAAGATATAAAAAATAAGAAAAACTATGGTAGTCGTCGCCAGTAGCCTCATAAGACCATGAAGAGACAGAACTTTTCGATGATCGATTTTAAAGGAAAACACTTTTTTGGGTGAGCATTTTTAGGTGCGCTCGCGACATGAGAAATTTTACATAAAAAATTAAGTTTATCAAAGCAATGTGGGCACTTTTTGAATGGACATAAAGTATAATAATATGGAAATTATATTCAAAGGAAGTGGTTTTATTTAAATAAGTAAATATTAGTAAATAGTAAATACAAAATTTATCAATTTTTTTAACACAATACCATAGCAGCAACACAAGTCAAATGAAATATTTAAATAAATAAATTTTCCGTTTAATATTCATTTATAAAATAAATATAAAAAACTCTCAATCTCGTCTGTCGCGAG